TGGCTGAATATGACATGAGTGGTATGTGGGAAAGATTCACAGTTAGAAGAATAAGCCCAGTCTCTTTTCTTGCTCCTAAAGTATTTCATTCTAGAGTAAGTGGCATTGCAAGCATAGCACAGGAGCTAAAAGCTAGGAAGCGAGAGACAATCTGGCTTTGTTATTTTCTTCAAATGCTTAGGCTACATTTTACTTGTTGTCTAGGAGATGAGAAGAGGAGCCGAGGTGGGGAAGATAATGTAAATTGTGCCCATTACAGATATTATGGAAATACAGTGTTTGTCTCAGAATCGCAAAAGGCACAGCGAGATTGCCCTGCACTCCCAGAGCACAGAACTGCCAAGCAAGATAAGCTGTGACACTGTCCAGTTGCCCCCTGACCTTTGTGCAGCTTGTGGCTTTAAAAATTGGCTTTGGTAGCGATGCTGGGTGGCTTAGTTTTGGAAAGGTAGTCCAAAAATGCAGTGTTTCCAAGAGAACCCTATTTCAAATCTCTGGCTGACAGCTTTCTCCTTCTATTCAAATATTGAGAACAGAGTGGGAACTCTTTAGGTGCCTATGCGGGTATAATGCAAACAATTCCATGATGGCAACATTATAATAAGGATTACACAACAAAGCAATTTGGCAGGAAAACGTAAGGCATTGCAATCTGCTTGGCCATTGGTTGCATAATGGTGCAATCCAATATAATTTCTGCATAGTGACAATGGTTTAGGTTTATGCACCCACCGAATCTTGGACTCAGGATGATACCACATTTGCGCTTTAAAGTGGAGGTGCCTACTTACCCAATCATTTGCATTGCTCTGCAGAATACTGGGAAATGTAGTTTGGGATGGGGCTTTGGAATTCTCAACCAGAGAGGTCCTCAGCTTCAGTAAACTACATTTCCCAGAATTCTATAGGAGGCAGCCACACTATAGTGGCTGACCCTGCTTTAAAACATTAATGTGAAAATCTGTAGGATTTTCCTGAATATTCATCCATGGGAGTCAAGAAAGTTCACCACCTATTCAGTTTGGCTTTCAATTGAGAGCTACTATTCGAAGTCCTGTACAGGTATTGGGGTAGCATTCCTTTGCATTCTGTTTGTAGGATACCAAATGGCATTTTCAAGGTGCATATAAACTATAGAGTTAATGCACACTGACACCGCTGTAGCTGCCATGATTCAAAGCTATGGAATCACAAGAGTGGTAGTTTGTCTGAGAAGGCTAAAAACCTTGTAACACTACAACTTCCTGGATCACACAGCATTGAGTCATGGCAGTTAAAGTGGTTTCAAACAGCATCATTTCTGTAGTGTAGGTGCACCCTGTGTTACCTTGGTGCATAAAGATGAACACAGATTTATGAATTAGCTGGGTTCGACATACAAAGGTCTTTGTTCAAACATGATTCTAGCACACCCCCAGGAATGTCTACATAGGGTCATAAACATTATAAAAGCAGGTATGGATTGACCAGAGGGTGATCTACTTTACAACAATAGCCATGCTGGCTGGCGGATTCTAGGATGGGAGAGGAACTTCTTAATGGTTGCACCCAATTTCTGGAGCTCCCTTCTCACATAAATTAGATTGCTACTCTCCTTGCTGTCTTCACATTAGTTGGCTTAAGGTGCTGGATTTTGCATTTTCTGCTTTTTAAGATGCCAGCCACAGATGCAGGCGAAATGTCAGGAGAAAATGCTGCTAGAACATGGCCATACAGCCTGGAAACCACACAACACTCCTGCTTTTTAAGTGTTATTTAAAATAGGCTTGAATTTTTAATTACATTGTTAACTTCTGTATGTTGTTATTTTTAGCCATATTTATCATTTGTAAGCCACCTTGATTTACAAACTGGGAAAAAATTCGATATCAATCATCACAATAAGAGTATAGTCTGAAAAAGTAATGTTTCTAATCCGTGCTGGATAGTATCGACATTCGATGTTACATTATCTTAAGTGAATACTTTGTTGTCACCTACAATGACAACCACCTCAGGGACTGCAAGCTTGGAAGACCACTAGTCCACGCAAAGTTATTACTTTGGTGCTTGTTGTGGAGGAACAAGTTTCCAATCTTGCACCCAGGGTTACTTCCATTATGTGTGGAAATTTTATGTGCTTGAGTGAGTACATTGCAGAAAGAGTTGACATCCTGAGAACAGTTAAAGAGTAGATTCTTAGTTGTTACAATTATGGAGACCTGCTAGGAAAAGGAATCAAAGGTGTATATGCCACAAGTTTGCATTCATAGAAGAAAAACTATTTTGCTTGATAGCGTAAATTAAATAGAACTGAAATAGAGCAGGGCATTGTCAGTGGCTGGAATCCCACTGGTGTCTTAAGACATATGTTTCCTTCTGCAAGCAGTTGGATACTTAGTCTGATGTACAACCTCTGTACATCAACCTCAAGAAGCAGAATCGGACATAGGGTGCTATTATGCATACATATCGGCATTCAGTTGTACATTTGGTTGCCCATTTGCTTGTAATTTGTTCGATTCATCCAAAAATAATGTAGCATTCTAGTGACTCTTAACGTGTCCGTAAGTTTTCTGGTGCACGTTTATTTAGACATTTACAAGAAAAATATAATTCTTGAAAGAAAGCTTGGTGAATTGTATCTTCAACCATGTAGTGTTCTCTAAAATGTTCAACTAGATTTCAGATTTGGTATTTACTTGATGATTATATAATATTGCAAAGTTCAGTTCTGAAATCTTTTGAATTAAGGAGATGTTAATCACTGGAAGTGTGCCCTAAATCAGGCATAGGCAAACTCTGACCCTCCAGGTGTTTTGGACTTCAACTCTCACAATTCCTAACAGCCTCGGGCCCTTTCCTTTTCCCCGCTTAAGCGGCTGAGGGGGGAAAGAAAAGGGCCTGAGGCTGTTAGGAATTGTGAGAGTTGAAGTCCAAAACACCTGGAGGGTCAGAGTTTGCCTGTGCCTGTTTTAAATCAATTGTGAATGGGTGAAAACAGTCATATTTGTCAGATTAAGATTTTATATCTGTTGAATTATTGGGCTACTTTCCCTGTTTTCTAGTTCCATTCTGGGCTTTCCTTAGATTCGCCATAAGTCATGAATGACTTGAAGGTATACAACAGAACAAAACTATAGGCAGCAAGCAAAATTTTAGCATTTCCTATTTTCTCACCAAGATGGAACATATATATCTTTTTTGACACTCATCCTCCCAAAGATATAGCTTTGCCTACTCACAACTGTTGTTTTCTTTAGGTGTAATTTCGATTCTGCTAATGTGTGGGTGATGTCATTAGCCTCCCCAGAGGCAACTGACAGATGACTGTTGGGGACAGAGTGCTGTTATCAGAACCAATCCTTCATCCACTTCCTTGCAGGAACCTTTCCCATTCTGTTTTTAACACCTGAACGCACCAAATTGGGGGCAGGGGGATCGTGTTTCTTTGAACCTATGTTTCCTTTTCCACTACCTGCTTTGAAATTAAGGGGCAGGGGCTTTGCTCACCATAACTTGGTCAAGTGTTACACTTAAAAGCAGAAGTCTCACATGGGCAAAGGTACTGGGTTTTATTTATACGTCAGCTGAACATATTTTGGGAACTGCTCCTTAACCAATCTTTATGCTCTGTGTGCAAAAAATGGGAGTGAAATAAGGCATCCATAGAAAGGACACAAAAGAGTCTAATGCAGCCCTATATGTCCAACACATTGTGGAGTTCCCTGCTAAGGTGTATTGCCTAAACCTTTTCAGCCTTTTCATGGGTGCAGAAGCATGGGAGATTAAGGGTGGATTAGAAAGCCTCAGAGACCCAACAGGTATGAAATACAGTTCCTGAATGGCTGAACTGAAAGCATACCTCCTACTTCTTCGTTAGTCATGTCATCAGCTTTGCCGTTTCCTATGGTTTGTGCAGTATCTTACTCTCCTTCAATCAATTGTGCTTTCCTGTTAAACATTCCATTCACAGCGATCAACAAAGCTTTAAAAAGATGCTCTTTTTGGACAATCCTCAGAATCTCCCAGTTTGGAAATTCTGGGAGTTGTATCCCTCCAAAATACTTTTTCTGAGCTTTTTAGTAATTTAAAAATCACATAATTATGGGGATTGGTGGAGGAGAGATGGGAAAAAAACAATACAAACTGCTTTGACCACCCGTTATTTAAAAAAACAGCAACAGATTAACTGCAAAGCAGAAACATATACACTACTCTGGCTACAAAAACGGGCACATAAAATTCTCCACTGTCTTCTCATCTTGTTCTGGCAATTACCAAACATCATCTGCAGTATAGCCAGAAGCCTAGTTGCATTTTAATGCACATAAGTTTAAAAACTGTACAACATGGTTAAGAAATGGATGATGATTGGTTAACACTTTTGGCATTCTCTGAGAAAAGCAAGTTAAGCTCTGCAGTGGATCCAGTTCCACATTTCGTTCCATTACACACAAACTTACGCTCAGAAAAGAACACCAGGGAGGAGCTATAGTCCCCGTTTCTCTCCTCCCTCCCAGACTTCTCCTTCTGATGCAGTGTTCTCTTCTTCCAGGTTTGGCCCATCTCTTGTTCGCTTGGAGCCACTTTGGGCTATGTGTCCGGTCTCCTTTTTGCACCCTTGTGGATATACTGGAACAGGAAGAAGCTTACATACAAAAGCAGATAACTGGAGCAAAGAGGGAAGGCGTCTTTGTTGTTGTGCTGACTCCATAAAGACTGTGCAGACTACGGTCAAAAAGCAGAAGCCTATCCAAACATCTTCAAACATCGTGGGGCCGGCGTTCCTCCTCTCGAAACACAGCTTGCATGCTGGGGCAACATGAGGAGACATCTGTCGCTTGCCCTAAATTATGTTACCCCTGAGAAATTGTACTTTCCTTCCAGTCTGAATAAAGTATTCGTAACAGATGGTGCGTGCTCCTTCACACGTTTGGGATTTCCCCCTCTCCCTCTGGGTTTCACCAAATGCCAATTCCGAAAAAAAGCAGCTTCCCAATTGATCTATGATCTATTAGTAGGATGTTGTTGTTGTTTTAAGTGTGTATTTGGATGGTTCCAGGAGTTTCACAGTATCCGTGGCCCATTGCGGTTTCACGTGATCAGGCAGCAATTAATGCATCTTGAGCCTATTCTTTTTTTCACCATGTGTTTCTTTGGAGTTAAAATGGCTATAATAGCTTCATCAAAAACAGTCTTCAGTCCTTTCTGTGTTAAAGCTGAGCACTCCACGTAGCAGTAGGCGCCTATCTGTCAAGAAAACAAATGTTTTTAATAGCTACACAGGCACAGACATTCCTCCCCAAATGCTATTTATACACTCAAGGGGCTTTTTTCTCAAATAGAAACAAGATTTCTTCCTCTGTTGGTTTCGCCTTATAGAAAAACATTACAGTACTTGGTCCCTCAAGGAAAAGAAGCAACTTCTTCATTTTTGGTACTGGCTGAGATAGTGATAAATGTAACCCAACATCGGGAGGGTGAAGTGGAAACAGCAGACTAGCACCTTCTTGCTTGGCTTTTAAAACAAAATAATTTGTCAATGTTTTAAAGATACAGTCTTTTAGTTAACTGTGATTCAACGTGTTTAATCCTTTTTCATATTCTAGTATTCTATTTTCTATTACAATATTATTAAATGAACGATCCTAGTTGTCTCTCTACATTTGTGGTTTGGCTTTTGAAGATTTGATTATTCACAGATATGATTAAAATGCTCTGTCTAAAAATTTCTAAGTCCTCTAGTGTGCCTCTATGGTGAGCTTATTCTAGTCATGCTGGATAACATGGGGATTTCTAGAGAGAATCTCTCTCTAGACATCCTTTTGTGAGAGTCTGTGATCAGCTTCCAGCAGGCATCAATAACCGCCTATCTCCGCGTTCGCATCTCCTTCTATGAACCAGCACGAGCTCTAAGATCTTCCGGGGAGGCCCTCCTCTCGGTCCCACTACGGTCTCAAGCGCGGTTGGTGGGGACGAGAGAGAGGGCCTTTTCAGTGGTGGCCCCCGTCTCTGGAACACTCTTCCAAGGGAAATAAGACAGGCCCCATCCCTCCCCTCCTTTCGCAAGAGCTTGAAGACCTGGTGGTTTCAACAAGCCTTTGAAAATGACCAGTTCTAACTCAACATTACACATTGTAGAATACGGCCTTATTCTTCCTACCAATTACCCAGATTCTTTCCTCTAATCGACCCTGGAATGAACAGCCACAGACCCGTACCTAATATTATTGTTGCCTGCCATAGTGTTGCACTTAATTCCTGGGCCCCCTAGAATTTTTGGGCTTGCACAAATCTTGGCCCGGCCTTTTAAATTTTTAAATTGCCTTGAACAGGCAGGATTACTTTTAATGCATATGTGTTATGGCGACAATCATTATGCTTATATTTTGTTTTGTTAATCTTATGGTTATGTTGTTTTTTACTTTGTATGTTTTGTGTTGTTACCTGGGAACCGCTCTGAATCCCCTTGGGGAGATGGAGTGGTATATAAATAAAGTATTATTATTATTATTATTATTATTATTATTATTATTATTATATCAATACTAGAATGATGCTAAAAGTTCTAGAAATGTATAGAGAGGTGTTTTCTCTGGTAAAAACAAAAAATAATATATTTATTTATGGTTTTTCATTTTCATGGGATGGTGCAATGAACCCATGGCATCCTGAAACTGCAGCCCTCCAGCAGTTTGGGCCTTCATCTCCCAGAATTCCTGACAATTGGACAAGCTCGTTAGGGCTTTTGGGAGTTGGAGGCCCAAATAGTTGGAGGGCCGCAGTTTCAGGATGCCTGGGTTAAACCCTTGTGCTGGTTGAACTGCTGACCTGAAGTCCTGAGGGTCGGCGGTTCGAATCCACGAGATGGGGGTGAGCTCCTGTCTGTCAGCCCCAGCTTCCCATGTGTGAACATGAGAGGAGCTTCCCACAGGATGGTAACATATCTGGGCAACGTCCTTGCAGATGGCCAATTCTCTCACACCAGAAGCAATTTGCAGTATATTCTCAATTGGCTCTGACACAATAATTTTTTTTCCTGAGCTTCCAACCCTAGTGCCTCCCCCTCTGCAGCTTTCAAGGTGTTCAGGGGACTGCAGTGGAGACAGGAAAATAGTGCTCATTATAATTTGTTTCTTTGTGAGTGGAAATCTAGCACTAGATACTGCCCTAAAATGCTATTGTGCTTAATATGAATACAGCATCTTCAAATATCGCCACCAATTCCCAGATGCATTTGTGTAAGAGAGCAATCTAATTTTTTGCAAAGAACTTCTCCACTGATGATATGACACTTCCTCATTTGACATTTTCTAGACTTGAGAATGCACTCTGTCCAGTATCAAATGCAGATGTCACATTGTTCTTTGGGCAGCTGCGTCATGCTTGGAAGCACTTGCCAGTGTACTTTGACTAAAGAAAGAGTTTCAAATGCTTATGTCAGAAACCAGCTGTATACAGCACTGCTGGGTTGGCCCCTGCGCCATCATGAACTCATGAACTGTGTCTCATCTTCAGACACAGATGTGTAAATCAACTGCTCTTAAAGGAGACAGGAATAAATGTTTATAGGGAGGAAGCATACATGCACCCATCTTTATACATTTGTGGGAGACGAAAGACTGTTGACTGAAGCAAGATTCTGCATCAAAACAGAAATGGGAAACTACTTTATGAAAGCTATTCTCATTACTCATTACAGTGTTTGAAAAGGAGACTTTGCACTATTGGAAAATTAACGTATTATTTACACTGCTCAGTGCTTTTCTGTTGTTTCCTATGGCTTTTTGAGAGGCAAAAACCATAGGACTGATAGAAAAAGAATGGCATAAAAGTTAGGAATTGCTGTCAAAATATCTCTAAAAATGCCTTTTAAATGTGATTTCTGGAAAAAAACAAGAAATCTTTACTCCTTACACCAGTGACGTCCAATGCTGGCTTAGGTGTTGTAAATGGAGGTAATGAGTGGCCTTGTTCTTTCCTTGTTTTTCATATAGGAACAAATGGCTGTTTTCACCAAACAAGGCATTTTTATTGTGTATCGAAAGAGACACCCACTCCCTAGTTTTCAGCATTCAGTGGAAACAAATGGGCACATTCAAGTTTAATCAATAAACCAAAACCACAGTTTCTGATACAAAATCACACTCCCTAAAACTAGCATATAATGTATAGTTACTTCCCATTTATTCAATCACTTTTTCCTCAAATTACTGGCAGGACTGCATATAGCAGGGAAGCTTCCTTGTCATGAGAAGATGGACAACCAGGAGGAATTTCTTTAAAAATGTGTATAACTTGGCAAATGAAAATAATTTTTGTGTGTGTCAGTAGCGACTTGAGAAACTGCAAGTTGCTTCTGGTGTGAGAGAATTGGCCGTCTGCAAGGATGTTGCCTAGGGATGCCTGGATGTTTTACCATCCTGATGGAGGCTTCTCTCATGTCCCTACATGAGAAGCTGGACCTGACAGGAGCTCACCCTGCTCCCTGGATTTGATGAATGAACCTATCACTCAACTGATGAAGGGCACTTGTAACCAATGCTTGATCTAAGTAACTGATAGACTGGAATCTCTGGGTGAGCTGAAAGTAGCTCATCAAGAGTTAATGATTTTATAACTAACTGTAGTCCTGAAATGAAGAAACTTAGGTGGGATGGGGGGGGGGGGGGACGACTAATCAGAAATAGACTTTGGTGCCACGTCAGCTAGTATGGGAGAATAACCTGAAAGTACGTTGATTGGTCCTTAATCTTATCAATTCGGAGAATGTGAGCTTTCTTCAGTTTTGTTTGTTGCTGTTGATTGCTATCAAGTCAACCTCTACCTTATGGCAACCGTACAAATAAGAGACCTGCAAGTCACCCTGTTATCAACAGCTCATCTCAGGTCTTGCACATTCAGGGCCATAGCTGTTGTGCTTTTGTGTTATATTGTATTTACTGTATTAATGGGCATGGCCTCATGTAAGCCACCCTGAGTCCCCTTGGGGAGATGGAGGTGGGGTATAAATAGTTTTATTTTATTTATTATAGCTTATTTGATTGAACCTATCCACCAGTAATCTTGTCTTCCTCTTTTCCTATCGCTTTCAACTTCCTCAGGCATTATTTTCTTTTCTAATGAGTCACGTGTTTTTTACATGTCCATAGTTTGACAGCCTTTGTTTAGTTATCTTGACTTCTAGGAAAAGTTCAGGCTTCATTGTGCTAATATCGATTTGTCTAGAACTCTCCTTCAAATGAACTGATTTTCTGCCTGTCATATTTCTAGGCTCGAGATGGTAAATCTTGGGGTTCTAGTAAAACAACCAAAGTACGTCTTAGAAACCCGAAGCCTGTTAATGCTTGAAGCAGAATGTATGGTGCAACTGTTCAAGCTTTCATATAGAGAAGTAGTTTCTATTGTACCATCTCAAAGTAACAAAGGAGACCTCAAATCCCATGCACAGTAATTCGAGTCAATTCTTTGATGTAGCACTGGTGTGAGTAACTGTAGCATAGAAAGGTGCTTTCTCAGGTAAAAAATAAGTATTTTATTTGTGTTTTTTCCCATTTTCTCAGAGGATTAGCACCACACATCCCCATGAAAGTGAAGGGCTGACTGTATTATATTGACGTGATCATTTAGATGGCAGAATTTCCTCCCAGTGGAAACTCACCAACAGTACTAATGAATAAGACCCTTGTAGTTTGTGGCAGCTATTGTCTTCATGTCTGCTGATGTTATTATTGTATAGCCTTACTGTACTTTTATAGGTTTGTTTTTGTGTTAATGTTAAATTACCTTTTGCAGGGAAAGTTACAGTTTAACAGTTTTAAATAAAAATAAATAAAACATACAATGGTGTGTGTATTTTTGAGGGCCTGAAAAGGGGACGGGGTGGGAAAAATATAATACAGAACAGCGGGTTTTTTTAAACTGTGTCAGGACACATTTCTGGTGTGAGAAAACTGGCTGTCTGCAAGGACGCTGCCCCGGGGATGCTCGGATGTTTTACCATCCTGTGGGAGGCTTCTCTCATGTTCTCACATGAGAAGCTGGAGCTGACAGACGGGAGCTCACTCTGCTCCCCAGATTTGAACTACCAACCTTTTGGTCAGCAGTCCTGCCGGCACAAGGGTTTAACCTACTGTGCCACCGGGGTTGTTTGTTTCAACTTACCTCTTTTGCTAGCTTCTGTCCCTGCTCCATACATATTGGCTTTTCCTTCATATCGTTCAATCTTGCTAAAGTTTTGGGGTCATCACGAAGATCAATCTGTTAAAGAAATTGACAAAGTGTATACTTTCCTGCGTTTACTTTTTTAAAAAACCCAACAGAGGTTGGATTCAACTCGAAGTAGTTGCATTTCATCACTACTTATCTTTTATAGTGATGGAAGTTAATGAAACATCTAATTCACTCAAGTTTGATCGAATAAATAATTTGCTACTTGTATCAGGTAGTGAAAATGCATAGCAGGAGAATGTGTGACTCTCCGCGTGTTATTGGTGTGCAAATCTCACCATCTCCAGTCAGAAAAGACAAATGGAAGGGGATGATGGGCACTAAACACCTTGAAGATCCTATATTCTTTATCCTTATCCTAGTAGTTGCAAGGCAACTGGGGCCCATAATCTCATGACATTTTCAGAGAGCTCAATGGAGCAGCTAAAAGTCTAGGTCTCATCTGTACTTACACACTATACATTTGTAATGGAAGACAAGTTGGGAGATGCCTAAAGTATTTTAATACTTGTTTTCAATGTTTTTAAATCTATCTCTTTCTTTGTTGCTTCAATCTTGGGTTTTAGAAGACCTGGGGAATAAGTAAATCCTGGGGAATAGGTAGGTGGAAAGTAAGGCAAGCCTCTCCTTTCTCTACCAGTCATTTACCCCCTTGCAAACATTCCCACATACCAAGAACTGGCAAATTCATCCTTTGAAAATATTCTCTCCAACCATCTGAGTTTCGTAACTATCTTTCTAAAATAGGAAATAAAAGCATGCATGTCTCACAATAATAAAAACATTTGATGCAGTCAATAACAGTGTAGCCTATATCCAAATCCCCTAAGTCAGTGTTTCTCAACCTCCCTAATAGTGCAATCCCTTAATACAGTCCCTCATGTTGCGGTGACCACTGGTCATACAGTTATTTTCATTGCTACTTCATAACTGTAATTTTGCTACAACTGTCATGTAAATATCTGATATGCAGGATGCATTGTCATTCACTGGACCAAATTTGGCACAAATCCCCGATACGTCCAAATTTGAATACTGGTGGGGTTGGGCAGGGGATTGATTTTGTCATTTGAGTGTTGTAGTTGCTGGGATTTATAGTTCACCTACAATCAAAGAACATTCTGAACTCCACCAATGATGGAATTGAATTAAACTTGGCACACAGAATTCCCATGATCAACAGAAAATACTGGGAGGGTTTGGTGAGCATTGACCTTGAATTTTGGAGTTGTAGTTCACCTACATCCAGAGAGCACTGTGGACTCAAATAATGATGGATCTGGACCAAACTTGGCACAAATACTCAGTATGCCCAAATGTGAACACTGGTAGAGTTTGGGGAGTTGTAGTTGCTGGTATTAACAGTTCACCTACAATCAAAAAGCATTCTGAACCCCACCAACAATAGAATTGGGCCAAATTAGAAGCAGAAACTAGTGTATTGCAAAGTACTGTGTTTTCTGATGGTCTTTGGTGACCCCTCTGACACCCCTCTCATGACCCCCCTAGGGGTCCCGACCCCCAGGTTGAGAAACACTGCCCTAAGTATACTGGACCAGTTTAATCATCACCAGCCATCATATCCATTCTGTGTGGTGATGATAGGGGTTATAATCCAGTATATATGGGAACAACAAGCTGGATGAAGTATTACACAGAGGTCAAAATTCTGCAACAGACTTTGCACATGTAAATCTCCCTTACATATGTGGATGTCTTTTTTTCAGGCACTGCGGGGGTTGATATTCTCTTCCTTCCTCTGCCGCAATCAAAGCCCCTAAATCTGCCACACACATCCATTCTGTGCTTCATGGCAAGCAGGCATGCACAGAGAAGCATCTGGTTATATCCTCATAGCCTGATGTGAAATGATGACAATAGCATTGACATCCACCAAGGTCCTCCAGTGGTCTAAAGTCTGCTATGATCATTTTTCTTCTTCTAGCTATGGAGGTGCAACCAGTTGCTTCTTGGGCCGGCCTGCTTAGTGTAAAGCATGGAATGGCCAAGCAGGGTGACGTCAGGGGCTTATCGGTCAAGCTGAAGGGAGAGTTATATGGCTCATCATAGCTTGGTCTGCATGTAGTTATTTTCACTACACTGAGAGTATTTTGGATTGGAGCCACGGTGTCCTGTGTGACACTGGGTATCTCTTTCCCCACGTCAAACCTACTTTCATCTGAGGAAGATGGGAGTGTCCACTGCAGTTTATATTAATCCCTGAAGTCCTGCCTCCATCAGTTTGCAATGCACATTTTTCACACATGAGGGAATTAATAAAAGGTGGGAAAAAGAGAAGAAGGAAAAAGGGCATTAATTTGACCAAATGCCATTATGGTATACATACTTTGCAGAGTTTGAAAAAGTTGCCTTTTGGACTACAATTCCCAGAATTTCCAGCCTAGCAATACTATTGACCACAATGGCTGGGAGTTCTGATTACTGTAGTCTTTTAAAAACAACTTTTCCAAATGTTGGTACTTTGGCTTCATTTTAGTGTTGAGGGATGGCTATGTAGTTAAGCTAAAATTCATTGGAAAAAGTGACTTTGGAAGAGGGAGAGGAAAAACAAGAGGGTGCTTTAATGGGCAGAGTTTGTTAAAAAATTAGGAGACTTTCTAGCAGCAACTTTAGGAAGTACATGTCCTGGGTCACAGAGACCTACAAATGTTTTTTTAAAAAAGGGATGGTTTGTTTTTAGCTTAGTAATTGGGAATGCTTTTTCTTCATCCCCCCCCCCCCCCGTTAGAACAGTGGTTCCCAATCTTTTTCTGACCAGGGATCACTTGACCAAGGACCACTTGACCAGGGACTGCCTGACCAGAAACCACTTTGACCAGGGACCATTTTCCAACATTAGTCCAAAGGTTATGAATCCATTTTTGGTCAACTTTAGATTTGGTTTGGGATGCTGATTCAGAAAATTGCATTGGATTGACCACGTCAGCTCTAGTTTCTGATTCAAAACATATGCCATCGTCAGGGACAAAGAAGGAGTGGCAGGCGGTGTGAAAGGAGTGGAAATAAAATAAATAAATAAAATAAATAAAGAAGGAGGAGGCTCGTGGACCAGATATTTGTCCATGCAGCCCACTGGTGGTCTGTGGCACACAATTTAAGAACCGCTGCCTTAGAACATATAACACAAGACTTACCTGGGTTCCAACTAACAAATACGGTACATTTGGTGCATATTCCTTTAGTTCTGGTACCCATTCCTCCTTCACATTCTGAAAAGAAGCCGGATTGACCACAGAGAAGCAAATGAGGAAGACATCGGTCATGGGGTATGACAAGGGCCTCAGGCGATCATAGTCTTCCTAAGGACACAAAATGAAAGATACTCATGTAATTTTGCATTAGTAGCTAGTGTTTCCAACACTGTAACTTTGATTCACTATACATTTCGGTGATTTGGGGTAATGAATGCACCAATATTTCACCTATGCTCCCAAATGTTTCTCCCCCATTCTCCGTGAAGAATACTCAAGTAGTCCAGCGTGTTCCATTATATTACATAACACGATTTTTGTTCCTGGATTATATATGTCTTTTAAACTGTGTTTAAATTCACTCTACCCTCCTTATTGCAGAAAGCAAGAAGGGCATATAGCTTCAATATACCTTTTACCTTACAAAAGGCCATAAATTACACACTTCATTTTGTATCTTCATAATGCACGTCTATGGCTATATGTACTGGAATATGTAAAATAATTTGAAAAACATTCATGGAAAATTAATGGACAGAAAAAGGAGTCATTTTGTCCATCTGGTATACTCAACGTGGACCACTGTATGCATCTGGCCAGTAAAGAACACTCAACATGCACATATTCAGGATTTCTTGTACTCACTGGTATCACTTTACATTTGTTTACAATAGCAAAGACTTCCCATTTTAATGTTCATTCTCTTAGTTTGGAAAGGTTCTTTTGGAGCTATTTGGTTTCTATTCTTGTTGAAATCATTCTATATAGTTTAGTGCTATGAGCACATCTGGCCACCTCATTGCTTACCTCAACTCCAGATTATTCATGAATAGGTTAAAAATCACTGGTCCCACCCAATACTGTGGTTTCCATTGCTTGCATGTTTTCATTGCGAGAACTGTTCATTTATTTCCACTCTCTTGAGAGTTTTTTCCCTCAGCAAATGGCAGCCAATGAAATAGTGCCAGGATATAGAATTTTACAAGGCAGTGACATCATGCCATGTGTTTGGCTTTACCGAGCATTAATTAGCAAGACAGGGGGACATGCTAAGCCCCTGCTTTCGATGATGTGTTGTTCTGATTTTATCCCAGATATAAGCCAAGATTCCCCAATGCACCACAAGGGTTCTGGTAGCCTTGCCTAACAAAGGAAAAGCAGTTACCAAAGTAAATAATTATGCAATTAAAATGCATGAAGGTCAAGTTCTTATATATAGGAAACACTAAGTACTGGGGACTTTAAAGTCAAGTCTTTAAGGCAGCCAAGGAGGAAAAATATATAATCACAAGTCAGTGGGGAAAAAACTGTTCATTTTCTCCCAAAGAACAATGCTTTTGAGATCATCCAGTGAACTTGATGTGAATTGGGGTAGGTTTCAGACAAGCAAAAAGTCACAGAAGACAATTAGCCAATTAACTTTACTGCTGCAGGATGCTATGATGGCCATTAACAGATTTTAAAAAATAATCAAATTAGTTCATAGTGGCTTCTAGTCATTAACTAAAAATAAAATTGTGGTGTATGAGAGACAGTTAACATTTGACCTGTGACAAACCAGCCACATCAGACACAGTAATTTGTATGTCTGTGTGCCTAGCTTTTTCTATCTTACTAATTATATGCAAGAATGCATTATCTTTCTTGGGTGGAGAGCACACAAAAATCAAAAAGAAACCTCCCAACTACAAATAAAGTTTTGTTTCTAAGGCACAGTTTTAGGGTGGTGAAGCTGAAGATATAACAATTGTTATTAAGAGAGCTGAGTATGATTTAAAGAGGAATTGTTTCCTATGGCACACACACATTTTACAAGAAAGAACACACCATGAATATCAATTGGTCTCCAAACTGCCTTCAATGGTTTATTGACCTGGATCCAACAATGATTTTGTGCTTCTTCAAGTCTTGGGTGTGCAAGGAGTTATGTGCTTTCCTAACTTTCCAAAGGAAGCATTTGATACCTCTGAGTCCTTACACAAGCATTCCCATTGTTCACCTATGCACTCTGTGATAACAATGGCCCTGGACGCAATAGGCCAGTTCACATGATAGCTAGATGCCCTAGGATAGCTCCACCTCGCAAGCCAAGGTGGCCACTGGAATCTCTTCTTCTATTGTTGTGAGCCTTCAACAACTCATAGTGACCATAAGGTGAACCTATCAAAGTTTTATGGGTCTGGGAGTGTGTGATCTATTACGTTTCCATGGCCAAGTGAGAAATCAATCCCACATCTTCAAAATCGAAACTTGATGTTCAAATCACTATATATACACTTTATGACAGATAATGGTAAATACTTCATATAATCATCCATCTCAGGATTACATAGCGTGGAGCCATGGAAGGTAAAGTGGTATCAATGTGACACAATTGTATCATGTAAAATACACTTTATTGGTGATTGGAAAGTGTTCTTTCACATGGGCATCAGTAGGGTAGTTTAGGAAGTTCTAGAAAGGCTCTGTAAAATGCATAGCTCTAGCTTTCAAGAACAGAGAATGGTCAGGTAACCCACTCTCCATCTATTGCTTTAAAATGCTATTACTGTTTTTGTTCAAGATAGGGGAATTGTCAAAAAATCCCTTCCACATCTACCCATGCATGGAATGTTTTTATTATATAGTTAAGATAAATCATTGTAGCAAAAAACCCTAAAGAAATAACACATCCAACAATTGGGTCTGATAGTGATTTACAACGATAAGGATACTACAGTACTATCCCAGATAGAGATTAATTGTTAGGATAGATCAGGATTACCGATTCCTAAAACAGTATGGAAGAATAAGTAATTTAAGAAAAAAGAACTAATAATCAAAACAGACTAGCATGCCTCACATTAACAGATGGCAGGTGACCTTGGGCAAACTAAACTCTCTCAATCTCAGAAGGCAAATGTCCTCTGAACAAATCTTGATAACAAAACTTGCCATTAGTAGAAAATGATTTGAAGGAACACAACAACAATTGCAGTACAAATCAAGGCATACCAAACACATTATAACACCTTAGAGTATGCAAGTTTCCTCTCAGTCTCATACACTCAACACATCTTGAGAGTGGCCCAACACATCTTACAGCAGCATCAAGAGGAAATATTTTATCTTGATTGAACCACTTCAAAAGGCAGACAGGAGTTTGAATGGCTTCTTTGTGAAGGAGTGCCATATTTATAGCAAAACAGCATGCTAGGGAGAGATTAATCTTTCTTCCCCTGCTTTAAAAATATCCTAGCTTTTTACCTGTAAGGTAGTGGTGAGAACATTCAAACTATGAGAGTCTTTGCCTATAACCTCAAGGGATAATGCATATATGTGTAAGTTGTCTATTGACTTATAGAGACCTCACAATTTTATCCTTCTAGAACTGTCTCTGCTCGTTTTCCTTCCAGATAGACAGGTCCTCCTATTGCCTATATCTCACCCTGGATATGGAAATCCAGTCATCTTTGGGTTTTTATACAGAGCAGACGCCGCTTCTGTGCGTTTTGAGTATCCGTTATGCTTATGCTACTGCAAAACAGAAAGATTCCCAATTTCATCCAGTTCTTATATTTTCATCTTGCTTCAAAATGGCACAATTTCAGCACCACCACCACCACCAATGGATCTTGCCATGTGAGAATAAATCTATGCTACACAGATATAGCAGTTTGATACTACTTTAATATGCTAAGGTTCCACTCAAAAGAATATCTGTTTCTTTGGTGGGGAATTCTTTTTGCTGGAGAGTTGTTATACACTCTTTTGAACTCAAACATGACAGCTGGTTAGTAGCTCTCTTGGAGGTGACGTTCCAGCACTTTGAGGCCTATATATCCACACTACAACTTATTAGGGAGGAAGAGGTTGCCTTGCAGAGTGGACTATCTTGCAGGAGAATCACATCGGGGACGTTACAATACTGCAAACCCCAGGATTCCCTAGCACAGAGCCTTCACTCTCAATGGTATCAAACTGCTATTAACTCTGCAGAGTAGATGCACTCTTCCAAACGTACACACAATTACCTGCATTAATTCAATCAACTAACACAGTTTTACACATCTTTCCTGTAGCATATTCACATCTCCAGACACGGCTTATGGGCCTTTTCCCCAATTATAAATAGCTGTGTGGAAAGGTACTATTCCAAAGCTCCAGCTGCTTTACTGGTGCTTCATGTGTTGAAGCTAAATCCATTGCTAAGAAGAGAAACTATGACCAGATTTCTCAAAGCCACCTTCCTTTATCTCCCCCGAGCCAGCTTTAAGTTGTAAGTTAATTTTTCTGTCAGGGCAGTAGATCAAACTCTGTAAAGATTGAACATCTCTTAATTCAATGTTGCATTGATATATTTTTACATTTGATATAGTGTTTGATTCTCCTACATTTTTGTACAGTATATTTGTGGATGTTTTAAGCATGTTGTAGATTATGATTTGCAGTGTAAGTCTGGTTTAATACATTGTGAGCATCCTTGAGAAAGTGACCTAAGTGGTGATATGAATCACGGCTGAATCAGACCACTGAGTCTTGTATCTGATTTCTGTCAAGGGCTAGTAAGATGCTTCTGAGAACTTACAAGCTGGGAAAGAACTTTTCCTGTGTAACTTACTCCCAACAGATGACACCCAAAAGATACAATGCCACTGTCCTTAGATGTCCAGAAACACCATTACCAAAACTTTACCTTCTAAATTATCTTTGAACAGTTTATGTTGTTGTTAGACTATTATAATTGCATTCTAATGTGAACCACTTGGACATTTAATATATTAAATGGTAAACAATAATATATAAAATAAATAAATAACAACATGTTCTCTATGAATTGGTCTGATTTTTTTCAGACCAATTCATAGGGAGAACCAGAAAGTGTATATATGCCTTATAGCACTGGAAGGTATCCCTTGCTGCCAAAGAGAAGGCTGAGAGGAGACATGGTGATGGCCATGTATAAATATGTGAGGGGAAGTCATAGGGAGGAGGGAGCAAGCTTGTTTTCTGCTGCCCCGGAGACTAGGATGCAATTGAGCAATGGTTTCAAATTATTGGAAAGGAGATTCCATCTGAACATTAGGAAGAACTTCCTAACTGTGAGAGCTGTTCAGCAGTGAAACTCT